GCTTTCAGTTGTTGGTTGGTTGCTTATTTTTTGTATTTTTCACAAGTTTCACTGGGGAGTGGGTCAGCAGATCTCCTCACACTGCCATGCCAGGTTGATCTCTCTCCTTTCCTCTTAAACAAAATCTAAATCTGAATACTAGCTGGTGCCACAGCCCAAGGCAATCAAAGAACCCAACATCATGAGTGAGAAGAGGAGAAAAAAGGGACCCTGTGGACAGGCCCTAGGTTATTTCACTACTTTAGTTGCAGGGAAGATGAGAGAGAAGAACATCCATGTTCCCAACTTTAACATGGTGACCACGGCCTCTAATAAACTGGCCTAATGAGATTAGTATTCTCACTCCAGAGACAGTGTGGGGCGGGGTGGGGAGGGGGACAGTGAGGTGGTGTTAAGAGGAATGAAGCCATCTGCTCTACTGTCATGCATTGTCTTTTTTTTTAATCTATTGAAGTCTAGTATAGTTCTTTCTTTTTTATTGAGATATAGTTGACATGTAACATTATATAAGTTTCAGGTGTATAGGAATGGAGCCATCTGCTCTTGCATACAGGCAGAGATCGTGACCCAAAAAAGTGTTCTCTAGTGTGGCATCATTAGAAAGGGGCAATTGAACTTCCTATCAGGTGATGGGTAGAGAAGGATAATGAGTATGGGATTTGTAAAACATCCAGCCTTCAGATTCTGAAATAAAAGCAAAGCTCCAATATGTCTTTTCATCTCCGTGTCAGGCCCTGGCCTATTGTAACAGCCTCTGAACTGCTGTTGCCTCCAGCCTCTCCCCTCCGATCCTTTCCTAGCTCTGCAACTGGCCTCAGAAGCCAGGAGAAGACTTGGGCTTTGTTCCAAGCACAATGGGAAGCCTTCAGAGGGACTTGAACAAGAGAGTTTCATGGTCTGATTTATGTGAAAAGATCCCTCTGGCTGCTGTGGGGAGAAATGGCTCTACCAAGCAAAAATGAAAGCAAGGGAACCAGGTAGAGGGACAGCAGTGGTCTGGACCAGGGCTGTGGCAGTGGAGGTGATGAGACTGGTCAGACTCAGGAGACAGTTCCAAGGATGGATTAGAAGTGTGATGCTCAAGAGCGGGGCTTTGGCCTGAGCGAGCGGGCAAACAGCTGGGGAAGATGAGGGAATTAGGTAAGCTTGGGGAAGGATGTGTGGGAGAGTGATAAGGGGGAGAATCACATATCCTATTTGGGGTATGATAAACTCGAATAATAGACTTCCTAATAAATGGTAGCTATCCTCACTGTTTCTACCACACACACTTATGTGATGGCCTCTGCAAGCACACGTGCTCTCTCTCAGCTTGCAGCTCAGCTCTGCTCCTCCTGCTTTCTTCTCCTCTTCCCTTTACATTTTCCACTCCCCCTCGTCCCCCACTCCCCAACTCCAGGCTACCGCCAGTGACTGCTGCAGGCTCTGGCGATGGGAAAGGCAGAAGCTAGAAGCCCGAGGCAGCCCCTCCGTGCTTCTCCTTGCCTGAGCAAACCTCTGCTTGGTCAGCTCCTTCCTCACTGTGGGGAGTCGGGCTCACAGGAAACCCCTGCAGTGAGACCCCCGAGAGCATGCAGCCCTCTGGTTCAGCTCCTGGCCTAGCAGACCCTCTGGCCTTTCTGTCTCTGTAGCCAGGCAGGCCGACAGGCTACCAGGCAGTGCTACACATGGCTGGCGTGAGATTCAAAAATGCAGCAGAGAGAAGGATGGAGATCTCCACATGAGAAGGTGACTCTGAGTCAAGATCTGAGTTAATTTAACCCCTTTAGCTGTGCTGTCATTTTGCATCAACCGTACCAGAATAGCATATAGAGACATTTGTCAGGGAGCCAGCTGGGGAAAGCCGACTGAACTGTCTGAGGCCCACTCGCAACAGGAGGGTGGCCCAGGGGTGAGGACTGGATACATCCAAAGGCCACTGCATCTCCCTGGGCACCAGCACAGTCTTCCTGAGCGAGCTGCTTACAGAGGGAGCCCCAGTGTGTGCCCATGGTGGGGATTAGTGGGGGAGATGAACAAAGGAGTTTCTTCCCTCTGCTCTTTGATTTGCCATGCTGCCATGGCCCTTAGAGGCGCATCAGCTCTGGTAACAACAACTCATTCTCATATAGAGCTAACTATGTGCCAGGACTGTTGCACACATTTCACGTGCAGTAACTCATTGAATCCTCATAACAACCCAAAAGGTAGGTACTATTATCATTCCCACTTTACAGATGAGGAAACTGAGGCTTAGAAAGGAGAACTAGCCCAGGGTCACACAGCTGAAAAGCAGTAAAACCTGATGTTCTGACCTCAACTCCATGATAGACAGGTAGATGGCTGGATGGACGGACACAAGGTAATCCACAAGGAATGGAGCACATAGAGAGTCCATGGATGCTCAGCATATGGAAGGTATCTGCAGGCTCGAGAAAGCAGTGGTCGCTTTTGTTACTCTTTTGTTCTATTAGAATTTTATATATATATAGATTATTTTTATAATGTTAATCTTTATGCTTGCTTTAAAATATAAATACATTAATACCTATACACAATCAGATCAGTTTTCTACCAAGTATGGGAGCCTCTTAGGGTACGAAGTATAACACAGGTTAAATAAATCATAGTCATAACCCCTGCTCCACAAAAAGTCTCCTCCCCAAACATTACAGGCTGTATGGTCTTGGGCAAACCACTTAAACTCTCTGCAGCTTACGTTTCTTGTCTGGACCTGCCCTATAGGCTAGAGCCCTTGGTAATTATAATCATAATCATAAAAGCTACTATCAACTGAATACCTAACGTGTGTCTGTACTATGCTGAGAACTGTCATGCATTATCTTTTTTTTTTAATCTATTGAAGTCTAGTATATTTCTTTCTTTTTCTATCGAGATATAATTGACATATAACATATAAGTTCCAGGTGTACAACATGATGATTCGATATTTGTATATATTGTGAAACGATCACCACAATAAGTCTAGGTAACATCTGTCACAACACAGTTACAAATTTTTTTATTGTGATGAAAACTTTTAAGATCTACTCTCTTAGCAACTTTCAAATATGCAATACAGTATTATTAACTGTAGTCTGTACATTACCTCCCCAAGACTTACTTATCTTATAACTGAAAGTTTATACCTTTTGACTCCTTTCACCCATTTTGCCCACACTCCCCCTCCTGCCTCTGGCAACCACCCATCTGTTCTGTGAGTTCAGTTTGTTTTTGTTTTTGTTTTTTTAGATTCCACATATAAGTGAGATCATACAGTATTTGTCTTTCTCTGTCTGACTTATTTCACTTAGCATAATGCCCTCAAGGTCCATCGATATTGTTGCAAATGGTATTCCATTGTGTGTGTGTGTGTGTGTGTGTGTGTGTGTGTGTATAAACCACATCTTCTTTATCCATTTATCCATCGATGGACACTTAGGTTGTTTCCGTGTCTTGGCTATTGTAAATAATGCTATAATGAACATGGGGGGTGCAGATATCTTTTCAAGTCAGTGTTTTCATTTCCTGCAAAGCGAAATAAATAGTAATAAATACCCAGAAGTGGAATTGCTGGATCGTATGGTAGTTCTATTTTTAATTTTTTCAGGAACCACCATACTGTAGTCCATAGTGGCTGTACTAATTTACATTCCCACCAATGGTACATAAGGGTTCGCTCTTCTCCACATCCTCTCCAACACTTGTTATTTCTTGTGTTTTTGATAATAGCCATCCTAATGGGTGTGAAACAGTATCTCTTTGTGGGTTTGATTTGCATGTCACTGAAGATTAGTGATGTTGAGCACCTATTCATGTACCTGTTGGCCATTTGTAATGCCTTCTTTCATGCATTATCTTTTAATCCTCGTAGAGGCAACTGAGGTGTACAGAGGTTATGTAACCTGCCTGAGGTCACACAGACAAGAGGTGACAGAGCTGGGCAGTACAAGTGCCTCAAGGGCAAGAGCCATAGCCTCACTGCTTAAGCTGGTCAGGGCTTGTCGCTGACCAGAGAAGAGTACCGATTTGATGAGTAAATGCGTGTGTGCAAAGAGAGATGCTTGAGCTCTGGCCCCAATAAGAATTCTCTCTCCCCTAAAATTAAGTCCACAGCTGAGTGTGGACTTAATTAGTCAGCCAGAGCTGACTAACATAACATACCACCACAGACTAGGGGGCTTCAACAACAGAAATTTATTTCCTCACAGTTCTGGAGGCTAGAAGTCCAAGATCAGGGTGCCATCAGGGTGGGTTTCTGGTGAAGCCTCTCTTCCTGGCTTGTAGACAGCTGCCTTCCCACTGTGTCCTCACATGGCCTTTCCTCTGTGTGCATGCAGGGAGAGAAAGGGAGATCTCTAGTGTCTCTTCCTCTTCTTAGAGAGACAGTAGTCCTATCAGATTAGGGCCCTACCCTTATGACCTCATTTAACGTCAGTTACTTCCTAAACACCTCACCTCCAAACATCATCACATTGGGGGTTAGGGCTTCAACATAGGGACTTGGTGGGGGACACAATTCAGTCCATAACAATGAGCTCTGAAGAGTTCTGGGAACCCTTAAAAATTGTAAACAACATTTTGCGCGGGTGGGAGTCCACTTACACCATCTGTTTGAGCTCCCAAAAGGTAAGAACCACTCAAAGTATAAGTGGACAAAGAGGGAAAGGGTTCATGGAAAAATGGAAACAGAACTTGTATTAAGGTGTAGAAGAAAAAGCAATTTCTTATAATATTGTTTTAATAAGTTTTTAAAAATAGAGAACAAGAGGGACGGTGGAAATGGGGATGTGGTATGTCAGCCCCCACTTTACATTTTGAGAAGTTAGATGGCCGCCTGAGGTCACAGAGTGAGGAGCCAGTCTGAGCCTAGAACCCCCGCGTCCTGAGCCCCAGCCCATGCTGTTCTCACCAGGCTTGCTGTCTGTCTTTCTCCATGGAAGCCAGGGCCATGTGAGCGAGGCTCCTGGGCTTCCCTTCTGCTGACCTCATGGATGCTCTTTCCCTTGCTTTCCTTCCAGAAGTGGAGCAGATCGAGGCCATCGCCAAGTTTGACTACGTGGGGCGGTCCCCCCGTGAGCTGTCCTTCAAGAAGGGGGCCTCACTGCTACTGTACCACCGTGCCTCAGAGGACTGGTGGGAGGGTCCTCACAGTGGCGTGGATGGACTCATCCCACATCAGTACATAGTCGTACAGGACATGTGAGTGGGAGCCGGGCCTTTCTGTGAAGATTGCCGTAATCTATTAGTGATGTCTAGAATGGGCACAAGAAGGGAATGCCAGTGATTTGCTCTCCCTGATACAGTTGGCCTTCTGGAAGAATAGGTTATTTCTAACTTCCCCTTAAGTGGTGATCCACTTAACAAATGAGCAAATTGCTCATCCTTCAGAGTATGCAGAGACAGCACCTGGTGCCCTTGGCCCACCATCCTGACCCTCTGACAGCTCCAGGGCATTCATCACCGGCCGTGGTTCCCAGCGTCCAGTGGATCTTGCCATATACCTCCACTCTCCTGGGCCTTCCAGCCAGTGGCCAGCCCACCGTCCCCTTAGCTGCCCACCAATCTCTACCCCCACAGTGGCTTTCTCCAGGGATGGGCAGAAACAATCATCCCCTCGTTTCCAGTTAATAGATATGATTTTAAAAAATGATAATTTCAGACATTATAAAGAGCCCTGCATCCCAAATACCTAGTCCTACTGGAAGACCCAGAACATCTGCCCCTTCCGTTCTCTGAAAGCCATTGAAGGTTCCTGCACACACACTCCCTTCAAGCTCTGGTCAGGCTCAGATGGAGCTGATTTATTGAGGAAGCAGCCACTAGCTGGACCTCAAGGGAAGGGGACCAAAAGCATAAGTTTTGATGGTAGAGGGTGGTATAAAGCCAGAGAAAAGTCCAGGGCAACACAAACCCCAAGAGGAATGCCACAGTGGAGGGCCCTCAGCAGCCCTCTGATGTCCCCAGGCCTCTGAGGACAGGGACAGGGCACTAGAAGGGAGAGGACAGTGGGAGGAGGCTGGCAGGGACCCCCAACAAGCTCGAGCCACCTCAGAATTGTCCCACACCCTGGGTGAGGAGGTGAGGGAGGTGGGCACCTTATTTCTCCCTTGCTTAGACCTAAACGGCTTCTCTTGGAGCCATTTGGAGACTGTGCTCAGTGCTCAGCTTGCAGGCTCCTCCCCGCATTTCTCCAACACACCCTGCAGCATTTAGCTTGTCCTAGCCTGGAGCAGCCTGGGAGAGAGGACCAGCCTAGCCTAGGGGAAAGGAGAAAGTTGGCATGGGGGTGGTGGCACAGAAGAGGGTCTCCCGCTGGAGAAACTGACCGAGGAGCGTGGCGGTGGGCATGCATGGTGGTAGGTGCCAAGTGGGAAGTGGCTCATCCCCTCACCCCAAGCTGTGGGTGTAAATTAACCCTAAGGTGTGTGTTGATCCAGCCCCTCACGCAGGTCTCAGGGAGCCCTGCACATCCTGGGTTCTCGGAGCAAAGCCCTCCCAATTCACATCTGTCCTTCTCCCCAGGGACGACGCCTTCTCGGACAGCCTGAGCCAAAAGGCTGACAGCGAAGCCAGCAGTGGGCCTCTGCTGGATGACAAGGCCTCCTCCAAAAACGACCTCCAGTCCCCCACGGAGCACATCTCGGATTACGGCTTTGCGGGGGTGATGGGCCGGTAGGATATGCAGCTTCAGTTTTTCCTGCTAGTGCCGTGCCTGTCGTGTCTGGTTTGGGAGAAGCAAGGGGGCAGGAGGGAGAGAGGGGGGCTGTTGTGTCCCCTTGTTCCACACAGGTGTGGTATTGGGCACACTGGGGTGGGCCGGCTGGAAGTGACCCAGGAATGCCAGGTATAAAACCATCCAACTTGGGGTCGCTGGTAGAGAAGGAGGAGGAAGGACATATATTGGCAAATCAGTGCTTTCTATTTAAAAACATAATAATAAATGGGAGACAGAGTTACAAATTGGCGAGTATTTTTGCTACCTCTCTCCAGTTCTCACACCTCCTCCACTTTCTGTTGAAGACCCAAGCTGTTATATTTCAGAACTTAGAGCCTACAGACTCCCTGAAGTGCACTACATGAACAGAAAACTCACACCCACTCACGGGGGGCGCGGGAAACTGACACTCGACTCACCCCCCTATTTGGTGGGAGCACATGTGCCGATTTCTCCACTCCTGTGTGTGGGCTGGGCTGTGTCACATGACCTTTCTGCCGGGCAAGGAGCGGTGCTCCTCTTTCTGCATACAAGTGTAGTATGTAGAATGTGGTTTTTGAAAAATAACAATAAAGTAAGGAAAAGAGAAGAAAAGAAAAAAAGAAAGAAAAGCTGAGTTTCTCCCTCCATTCTTACTCAGATTCTCAAAATGTCATATTCTCCGTTTTTCTGGTGGAGAGGTCATGGGATCAACCCACACATATGGGTACTTGCAGATAGAGCCAAAGACATCAGTGGTGATGGGAACATACGCTTATGAAGTTATTTCAGCGGAAGTCCTGATGCCTCTTTTCACCATATTCTGCTCAGTTCAGGGCGCGGCCATAGATGATAGAATTGGGGAGAAAGTGGAAGGTTGGCTTAGGTAGATGACAAAGTCACGGTCCCTTGACTTCTGGGGGCCATATCTTCTCCTGCCTCGCTTTCCTCTCCCTCTTCCCGCCCTCATCTACCTTCTTCCTATTTTTCCTTTCTCAGTACCTCTTCCTCTCCAACACCTATGCTTTGGTCCTGATGGGGTACCCACAGGTGGGGCTTAATTTGGCTGGGGCACTAGGATCTAAAGCGCCGCTGACCACGTTGAGCTTGGTCCCCTGGCCACAACCACTCTGTCCCTCCTCCCCACCCCCTCGCCTCTTCCAGCCTTCCCTCCCCTCACAGGTGTCTTAGAATCTTTGGTAACCTCCATAGGATATAGCAGAGTCTCCTGTGGGTAGAACCTCTCGTCTTCAAAGTGTTTTCACACCCACTGAACCTCCCTCAAAGGTGGGCAAGGACCGTTATACCCATTTAACAGATTAATAAAATGAGTCTGAAAGAAGATACAGGAAAGTCTGTGACAGAGACAGGATGAGGACTTGCCCTCCTGATAGACACTCCAGTCCCCTTTTCACTCCACCAGAGCATCCCTGAGGGGTGAAAGTGACCAAATGCACGGAAGGCATGTCCAGTGATGCAATTTTTACTCTCAAATGACTGGTTTTCCAAGATCTGGAAAAGCCTCATAGAAATAGCCCCCTGCTGGGGAGACTGGGGGTGGGTGACAATCTGAACTGTGTTCAGTGACCAGGGGGCCCCTCCTGTGCTTGCAGGGAGCTGGTAACTTTCTGGTACAGTCAAGCCTCAATGCTGCAGACCAATTAGAAGCCCTTCAGAATCATGGAAATGTCTGAACTGCTTAAAAGCGTATCATGAGCCCAGCTAACCATCGCCCAAGCGTTCCCAGGTTGAAATCCTCCTCACCTTGACTTAACATATAGATAAGATTTGTTGTGTGATCAGCATCGCCATCTGCAGCCTGGAGGCAGAAAGCGCCTGATTCCTTCCTGTGCACAGATTCAACTGCCCCCTGCCGCTGAGCTGCGCGCTTGGCCAGTGCTTTCCTGGCAGAATTGCCGAGTCTGGCTGAATGAGGCTTTACTATACCCGCTCCCTAGGCTAGTGTGTAGTGCGTGGCCTGGGGGTTGGCTGACCCATTCTGAGACTTGCCAGGGTTGACCTCTGCCCCATGCCCCTGCCCCCTGGCTCCTTTGCAGAGTGCGGTTACGATCCGATGGAGCGGCCATCCCCAGGCGCCGAAGCGGGGGCGACACGCACAGCCCGCCCCGGGGCCTGGGCCCCAGCATAGACACGCCGCCCCGGGCTGCCGCCTGCCCCAGCAGCCCCCACAAAATTCCCCTCACCCGGGGGAGGATCGAGAGCCCCGAGAAGCGGAGGATGGCGACGTTCGGGAGCGCCGGCAGCATCAACTACGCTGACAAGAAGGCGCTCTCCGAAGGGCACTCGACGAGGTCGACGTGCGGCTCCACCAGGCACAGCAGCCTGGGGGACCACAAGTCCCTGGAAGCTGAGGCCCTGGCAGAAGTAAGGGCCAGCCCAGACCCCCAGAGGGGCAGTGGGGTGGGGAGCCACTTTGCCTTTCATGCCAGGCTCAAGGCTAAGCCAGAACACAAGAGGGGTAGTGAGCTGGCTTCCCGTCCCCCTGCCCCCCTCCCTTTGAGGAACGGAAGCTGGATGGGTGCAGCGGCTGGCTAGGGATCCTGTAAAGACTGAAAACCCCGCAGTCGCCAGGGCTGGAGGGGGCATTCCTGCCTACCGGGAGACAGATGATGCGGATGCGGTAATGGCAGGGGTCTCCACAAGATGGCACGATTGAGTTATTCATTCATTCATCTATTCATTCATTCATTCATTCATTGACAGATATTGATGGGCATCTGTTATGTGACAATCCCTGTGCTAGGCACTGAGGGTACAATGATGACCTAAAATGGACCCAGGCCCTGCCCAGGTGGAGCTTTCAGTTTAGAGAAGACAGGGACGTCGACCAGTGACACACACACAGCTGTGAAATGGCAGTTGGGTCGGGTGTCTAGGAGGAGTGGTACACAGGATTTTGAGAGTCTAAAATGTGGAGATTGCACGTAGGCAGGAAGAGACTTTCCTGGGGAGGATAGGACCTGACATCCAAAGGATGGATGGGACTAAACAGCTGAAGCTGGAAGGGAAGACTGTTCCAGGCTGTCCTAAAGTGCTTAGAGTTCTTTGTTTTCTAAAGTTTTAAAAATTTGAATGAGAAATCTGTGATTTTTACACTTGCCAAGCCAACCGACCAAATTTCTTTAACAAATTGTTATGAAGCAATTTGTTTGAATTGTTAATGCAATTAACAAACTTGTCAAATTGCATAACTGGTTTCATGTGTTTTTGACAGTTCTATCACATTTTCAAAAGTTTCCATTTTTTTCTTTCTGGAATTTGGGGTGGGGGCCCATTATGTACCCCCTCCCCAGTGTTATCTCCCACTTCAGGTAAAAGACACAACCAGAACATTCCTAGCTGTGAGGATTCTATTGTGGAGAGTGGCATTTGAATCCCTGGTCACAAGGGGAAGAAGAAAAGTTGTGAGCTTGGGGGCTGTGTTCTAGAGGAGGCCAGGAATGTCTCCAAGGGAATATCAACACAGGAGCAACTCCCCCAGCAATTACAGCTCCTGTTCACACCTGCAGGATCTGTCTTGGCCCATGTCCTGACGCCCACTCCCAAGGGATCCCTGAAGATCAGTGCCTTGGCATGGGTCCCAGCCAGGCAACCTGCTGGTCATTCCATTCTTGAAGGCCATCTTCTTGGGAAGCATCACCCTAGCATCTGCTATCACCTGCAAGCTCTCCCGTGGGCCATGATGGGGAGTGAGCTACCTGAGGCCTGGCCCAGAGCCCTTTACGTAAAGAATCAAATACAGTCCAGGCCAGTGTTTCCACAAGTAGTTCCCACAGCAGACTAGTTCCATGGGATGTTAATGGGGAAAAAATGAGTTGTGTGGTCAAGAAAGTTTTGGGAATGTTGGTCTGACAAAGTCGAATGGCTTGTCTGCAAGACGTTTAGAACCTTTAAATATATTGATGTGTATTGTGAATCTCCAAGAAAGAGGACAAGAGCACACCCCATCTCCCAGACTTCTTTGACCTTTATTCACAGAGCGTTTTGCAAGACCAGGCCAAAGAAAACACTTGGGGAATGCTGCATGCATTTTCTGTTTGCAAAGATATCTACAAACTGTCGAATTTGACAGCTGCCATTCAAGAGCTCCTTCACTGACAGAGGTGAAATGGGAAAGCATGGTTAACAACATGTAAATAGCCAAGGGGACACTGGACAGCCTCCAACCTGCTCAGCATCGGCTCTGATGAGCGCTTGACTTTGCAGACCTCCCAGGGGAACGGTGGCGTGGAGAATCCTGAGTAGGAGATGCAGTTACCGGAAATCCTTTGGTATCAAAATATCCTTTAGGATTTAGATTTGAACCCAGTTAAAGAGGCTGTTTGGGGAAGCTGCAACACTGCCATCCAGAGTGGGAAGATCTAATTTGGGAGGAGGTGAAAAGTGATCCTTTCCCCACACCATCCATCCTCCCGCCTGCTCCTCTCTGCAGCTCCACGCTGGAGGTTGCAGCATCACCTCTCAGACTAATGCAAGGTTCATGACTAAACTACTCAGCTGATCTTTCTCTGAGCTTTCTGTCTTTCTGACTTACACTCTGCCGGGGGGGCGGGGGGGGGCAATGGTGGTGGAGGGGTGAAAATTCCATTTTATTTATTAAATTTTTACCTTCCAGCTCACGCTGGAGTACAGTGGAGAGAGCAGTGATGTCAACAGGGGACTTCATTTAAGCAGAGTGGAGTGTGGAAAGCAGGCTTTCTCACTGCAGGGTTGCGATATAGCAAAGATGGGGAGAGGACTGCCATCTCTCCCGTCATGCAGAAAACCCCACACAGCTAGTCCTTTTGGATAAAGGCACAAAAGGCCCCTTCTCAAAGTAGCCAGTGTTATGGGGCAAAGGATAAGATGTCATGGGGAAGCATAAAAGCTAAGATTAGCCATTGGCTAATTATCATTAGTCTCTTAACAAAGCAAAAAGGATAGGTTGGGACCCTGACTGTGGCCGGATTGGAGCCTGTCATGGGGGCCCAGGGCCGGCAGGAGGCCGTCTGTAGACAGCGGGAGGAGAGAAGATGAAAGAGGATTTGGGTGTAGCCAGGGCAGCTCCAGGCTCCAACCCCAACAGTCTGATCAGACTTTCAGTTGTTCCAGATTTGCCTCAGGGCGGAAAAGCAAGTGTGTCTTAATAGTCATCATTGTCACTGAGGTTGTGCACAGCACCTTCCAGCAGTGGTTTTAAGAAGTGTCCCTCATTGTGCCCTCAGCAGCCAAGCCTGTTGGCTCTGCCTGAGCAGCCCCTCTTGCGTCTGTCTGACGTGGAGGCATCCCTGTAAAGCCCTGTGTGAACCGAGGCCTCAGGGTAAAGGGAGTTTGAAAACCACTGTCTGGCAGTTTACAAAGCTTCATCGTGTCCATCATCTCATTCCATCTTCACAGTAAACGTGCGGGCATTCAACAGAGGAACAAAGTAAGGCGCAGAGCGACTGAGACTTACCCGAGTTCACACAGCCAGCAAGTGGCAGAGGGGTCTTGACACTCAAAAATCGGGGCCCTTTGCTGTAGCCAAGGGCTCCTGGGTTCAATGCTGACTCTAGCACCCCCTCCTGGCTTGAGGGGGAACAGAGGCCATGGGAAGCCGCCCGGATGGAAGGATGAGCCCCAGGCTGACAGGGCAGCACCTCTGCTCGTCGGAGGTCCTAGGCCTGCGGTAATCTCTCTCTGTGTCATTCCAAGTGCTCTCACACTGATGAGCTCTTAAATATTACAACATCCCTGGGGATTATGTAGGCAGATGAGGATTTTTGTTACTTTTTAAAATTTCCATTTTTTTAAAAAACAAAGTTTTCTGATTATAATACAGAGAAGAAAGCAACACTCCCATCATTCTGGGGTGAACATTGTGAACATTCCAATATATAACCTCCAAATAATTTTCTATGGGCAAGGATTTTTTTATAAAAAATAATAATAGTTAAGGGCATGAACTCTGGAGCCAGGCCACCTGGGTTGAGACTAGGGCTATGCTACTAACTAGCTGTGTGACCTTGGGCAAGTGACTTAACCAGTCTGAGCTTCTATTTCCTCATATGTGAAATGAGCATAATGGTAGTTGCTACTATATAAATGTGAGGATTAAATGAACTATCAGTGGGAAGGGCTTGAATTGGTGCTCGGTATTAGCTACTGTTGCCATCATAATTGTCATTATTATTTGTGAGTACTTACTATGTGCCAGGTGCCATGCTAAGCTCTTCACAGGGACTATATCACTTAATACACACACCAACCCCCTGAGGTGGGTAGTATACTTACCTGTAATTTAGAAATGAGGATTCTGAGGCTCAGAGAGGTGAGGTAACTTGCCCAAGGTCACATAGTAAGGAAGTGGAGCCAGGATTTGAACCCATCTGTCTGACTGCAGAGCCTGCCTTCTTAACCACTAGTCTAACCTGCCCTCATTAAGTCTGCTTCCTCTGCAGGCAGTGTGCAGGCGACACCCACATTGATTTTCCCATTTGGTTATAAGACACCCGGGGGATTTAATCTCCATCCCAGCCCCAAGGCTAGTGGGGAAAGCTCCCTAAGAAGCCCACAAGCTGGTCAGCAGCTGAGGAAGGACTGGACTCCAGGCCTCCAGACTCTGTGCTGACCAGAGCTCTCTGTGCCCCCAGGACATCGAGAAGACCATGAGCACGGCTCTGCATGAGCTGCGGGAACTCGAGAGGCAGAACACAGTCAAGCAGGCGCCAGATGTGGTGCTGGACACCCTGGAGCCCCTGAAGAACCCGCCAGGCCCCATCAGCTCAGAGCCCGCCAGCCCCCTGCACACCATTGTCATCCGCGACCCCGACGCCGCCATGCGCCGCAGCAGCAGCTCCTCCACCGAAATGATGACCACCTTCAAGCCAGCCCTGTCTGCCCGCCTGGCCGGCGCCCAGCTGCGCCCGCCCCCCATGCGGCCGGTGCGGCCCGTGGTCCAGCATCGGTCCAGCAGCAGCAGCAGCTCGGGTGTGGGCAGCCCAGCTGTGACGCCCACCGAGAAGATGTTCCCCAACAGCTCAGCCGACAAGTCGGGCACCATGTGACCTGCAGGATGGGGCGGCACCGCCCTGCCCACTGTGGCACGCCATGGCCAAGGGTGGCCTCTGTGACCTCAGTGAACGTCCTTCCCAGTGCTCCAGGCCTTGTCAGGCAGGGACCAGAAGGCCAGCCTGGGAGCGTGTGTGTGCAGAGCTGAGGCCCGGGCACCAGCCGCAGCTCACGTTCAGCCATGTGAA